GCGTTAGGATTGAGGGTGGTAGGTGGGTGTCAACAGGGCTGGGGAGTGGAGTGGGGGGAAATGGAGACAACTGTTCTTGAACAACAATTAAAAAATTCTAGGAGAATATGAAGGTAGGTAAAGATATTTAAATAGGATGAAAGAGTGCTAACAATAAAGGAAAATGAATTAAAAAATACATATTAAGATGAAGCAACTAGAACTCTCATACACTGATTGTGAGAGTGTGAATGCATATACATTCTCCTTGGAAAACTGTTTCTAAGGGTTTATTGGCTTTATCTATTCAATCTGAACATTCTCAGCATATTCAAGAAAGATGAATGTGTGTGTTCACCAAAAGACAGTTACATACAAGAGTGTTCATGGGAGCTTTATTTATGATGTATCCATTCAGTAGTACAATGGGGAAATAGTGGCAGAGTTATATGATGAAGTACTAGATTATGATTAGAAAGAGTGAACTATTATCATCTGAAGCAGCATGATGTTGAATGAAAGGACACATACAGGAAAGAATACATATGCTATCATTTACTATTTATATAAATGTCAAATACAGACAAAATTAATATATGGTGGGAGAATTCATGATAGTTGTTACCCTTGAAAGACAGTTAGGGACTTGGAGGGAGTACAAGGATAATATATATTCTGGGATGCCGTCAGAGTTCTGGGTATGGACTGCATGCTGGCTTCATAGCAGTGGTCACACGGTGAAAATTCATAAGTTGTACACTTTTCATAATTGCACATTCCACATATCCCATTTACTTCTATTAAAAGCTTACTTAAAATGCTAAATTCATACTAGAAAATATCCAATGATTTTCCTGCTAAGACTTTATGTTATGAAAAATTTCAAAAGCACTCCAAGATGTTTATACAAAGCTATTTACTGAGGCATTTTGCTAATATCAAAGAAACCTGTCGATAACCTCACTGACCATAAAGAGGAACTGGCAGTATATTCAGACAACTGAAATACAGCCATTAGAGATCATTTGAGTACTTCCTTATTGAAATGGAATGATTTCCAGAATCCAAGGGAAATAGTTCAGGGGTAGAATGGGTTATATTGTATAATCCCACTTGTGTAAAATTTTTTAAAATTTACACAAATGTATATAAACATAGATTCTGCACACTCACATGTACACAGAAGCTGGTAGATACTGGAAACTTTTTTGAAAGGTAGCAGGAACAGACATGATTAATTTTTAGGAAAAACACTGGGGTTAAGGATAAGGAGAGATATAACTTTAATTTTATTTATTTTATTTCTTTCTGCTCTGTTTGACTTTTCTTATGTCCCTGAATTACTTTTATTTATATATTTTATATTTATGAAAAAGTTGTCCTTGTTAGAATCTGTGATGTAGATACAGATTGTATGAGGGAGAGGGAGAAGTTTTGGCTCGTTCTTAAATTTTTAAATGTGAGAAACAGGTTGAGTGGTGGTCTATCAAATCAAGGAAGCAAATACAGGGGAGAAGTAAAAAGATTATGAGTTCAGTTTCAAGACTGTTTTAAGCTTTTGTCAATTGTCCACTCTGTTCCCAAAGCCAGCACCCTTTCATTTATCCATTAAATTGACTACTTAACAGAATTCTAGCAAAATGATTTAAACTGTTTCTTTTGTATGTAATATATTCTCTTTTGGAAAATCTATCCTTGAGTTCATCTTAGCATACCTGTAGCACCAGGGAAATAAATTGAGGAATTTTTTGCCCACTACTCTTTGTGACAGAAAGTGTAGAATTTAATATCAATAGTGCATATTAATGCCAGTATATCAAATAGAATATTAGCTAATTTGCTCTAACAGTGACCCAAAGTAGCAGTGGACTAATAAGGATAGAAATCTATTTTTCTTTCATGGGAAAGTCCAGGTAGATGGACCAAAGCTTGTGTGAAAACCCCACAACTGTCATGTCCCAAGCTTCTTCCATCATGTTACTCTGTCATCTTCAACATGGCTTTTGATTTGTGACCCACGATGGCTGCTCTAGCTGCTCCATGATGTCTCTGTTTCAGCCATGGTAGATGGGACAGGGAAATGGTAGGCATTCCTTTATTTTGAGACCACCACACAGAAGTATAAAAACAGGGTTATAACTAGCAGTATAGCTCAATATTCTATTGCTACATATCAGAGGAGGGCAGATATTGGAAGATATTTAGCCAGCCTGCCACTAATGTCTATTCACAATTCTCATTCCTAAAATGATATATGTATTCCCTTAAGTGAAACTGGAATCCATGAAAATAACTTCTGTAGACTTCAGAGTTGTCAGGTCCAATATTCTTTCCTGGCATAGTAAAAAGTGGGAAGAGAAAAGGACATGACAGAGAAAGACCTGAGGCTTACACAATAAAGCCTTTCAAAATATGGGAGGATTTTGGTTCTGAGCTCTCGGCAACAAATATCAAAAAGGAAACCATTTGTTTGTTACATGTTCAAACCCATATACATTTATTAACGGTAGGGTTTGTCAGCTTTTCTAAAAAGAGCTTTGAATTTCAGTTCTTCAGTTAAAAATGTAATCCCTGGCTTTGGAGACAATCAGACATAAAAACACAAAATATTTAACAAGAACATATAGTGGCCATAATTTCAAGAATTACCTTAGCAGCTTGTCTGTCTCTCTTTGTTGTTCTGTCTGTGGTCTGTCTCCTATATTTATCTAACATTAATCTCTGAGGATCCATTGGGGAGTTTTATTTTTTTTTGCTGCTGCCTACTCTTTAGAGAGATGGTAGGTATCTGACTAATGCAAGGTGTATATTTATATTTTCATGATATTTTCTTTCTGAAGATGCTAATGCTTTGGAGGATTTCATCAATAAAAGTGCTTTTAGTTTAAAATTGCATCTTTTGTGGAATGTTATAATTCATGATTCAAATATAAAGCCTACTCCTGTCACAGCAATGAAGTCTAGAATGTCTAGGATTAAGTAATTTTTTTGTTTTTGTTTGGGGGTATATTACAATTTTCTAAAAGTAAATTCTGGCTTCTGGCCAACATGGAGGCATAGTTCAATAAGCTTCACTTCCTCACACAACCAAAAGAAGGATAACAACTAGTTTAAAGATGGAAAACAACCAGAACTGCCAACACACACACACACACACACACACACACAAACTGTATGGAATTCTGACAACCAAGGAGTTAAGGAAGAAACATCCTTCAGACTGGTAGGAAGGGTGAAGATGGGCAGCCAGGGTGGAGAGGATGTGTGGTAAGGTGGCACCTAGTTCACTGGGTGGATGAGGTGGCAGCTGGCAGACCAAGCTGTCCCACGTCTGCATGTGGATAAACTGGGAGGAACAAATGGAGAGCAAGACCCAGGGTTCCAGCATGGGAATAGAAAGCCTTGGAACCTCTGGCTATAAAATCCTTGGGTGATATGGCAGCGGAAGAAACACTCAGCCTCACAGGAGAGTATGTTCCAGGGCTCCTAGAATGACACTAGTGTACCACCTGGGAATCAGCACTAGAAGGGCCTAATTTGCTTGTGGGTAGCAGAGGAAGTGACTGAAAGGGGCCAGAGCCCAGCAAGTGGCATTGTTCCCTCTCTGACTTCTCCCCCACATATAGCACCACAACACAGCAAGTAGGTTGCCCTGCCCTGGCAAATACCTAAGGCTCCACCCCATACAAGATAACAGGTGAATGGAGACAAAGAAATATGGCCCAAATGAAAGAACAGATCAAAACTCCAGAAAAAGAACTAAGCGACAAGGAGATAGCCAAAGTATCAAAAGCAGAGTCCAAAACACTGAGAATCAGGATGCTCATAGAAATGATTGAGTACAGACACAAAATAAAGAAAAAGTGAAGGCTATACAAAGTGAAACAGAAAAATGGAACAATCAATGAAGGGAAGGAAACTGGGACTCAAATCAACAATTTGGAACAAAAGAAAGAAATAAACATTCAATGAGAACAGAATGAAGAAACGAGAATTCAAAAAATGAGGAGAGGCTTAGGAACCTCTGAGACAACTTTAGACATTCCAACATCCAAATAATAAGGGTGACAGAAGGAAAAGAGGAAGAGCAAGAAACTGAAAACTTATTTGAAAAAAAATGAAAGAAAACTTCTCCAATCTGGTGAAGAAAATAGACATGCAAATCCAGGAGCCTCAGAGAATCCCAAAGAAGTTGGACCCAAATAGGAACACACCAAAACACATCATAATTAAATTACCAAGGATTAAAGATAAGGAGAGAATCTTAAAAGCAGCAAGAGAAAAGGAGACAGTTACCTACAAAGGAGTGCCTATGAGACTATCAGCTGATTTCTCAAAGGAAATCTTGCTGGCAAGAAGGGGCTGCAAAGAAGTATTCCAAGTCATGAAAGTCAAGGACCTACATTCAAGATTACTCTATCCAGCAAAGCTATCATTTAGAATAGAAGGGCAGATAAAGTGCTTCCCTGATAAGGTCAAGTTAAAGGAGTTCATCATCACCAAGCCCTTATTATATGAAATGTTAAAGGGACTTATCTAAGAAAAAGAAGATGAAAACTATGCATAGTAAAATAACAAATTCACAACTATTGACCACTGATCCTAAGAAAACAAAAAAACAAATTAAGCAAACAACCAGAATAGGAACAGAATCACAGAAATGGAGATCACATGGAGAGTTATCAGCAGTCAGGGGGAGGGGGGAGAATGGAGAAAAGGTACAGGGAATAAGAAGCATAATTGGTTAGCACAAGATAGACAGGGGGAGGTTAAAAATAGTATAAGATATGGAGAGGCCAAAGAATTTATATGTACGACCAATAGACATGAACAAAGGTGTTGGGGGTTCCAGAGGGAAGAAGGGTAACAGGGCGAGGTAGATAAAGGAGAGAGAAAGTGGGACAACTATAGTAGCAAAATCAATAAAATATACTTCAAAAAAGGACAGTAGATTCCTTTCTATTCAGTAAAATGCTACTGTAGATACTAAGACTAATATTGATAATAAATATTGTACTTACCCAGATTGTCTTGCAAATTTCTTCTACATAAATAAGGGGAAAACTACATATTTCAGTGCAGAAAATGTCTAACATCTGTGTTTTGTTCCTCCCACAATGTCAAAGAAAGACATTTTCTTCTTTCTAGCTTTTAAGAAAGTTAATTTATACTCTGCTTTTATCTCATTGCTAGCTCAGCCTCAGAAACAACGGTGTGTGAGTCTCAGAAATGTGTGTGTCAAAACTGGCAGGAAGGGGGAGGAATCCTGTGATCTGCTTTTAGTTTCATTTTCCTAGACCTGAGTTTGTTTATAGAAGTGATTTTGCATTTTTCTAAAATGCGTTTTTTTTTTGTAAGCCATTATGCTGCCACCTTCTGAGCTGTCTGGGTAAAATCCAAAGGTTTCAAATCTGTTCTCTGCTTTAGTGTGGAGGACTGCAGAGAGCCTGTTGTCCTGGCTGTAGACAAACTCTGGGGCAGGCTGAGTGGATCCTCTGGGAATACCCGTTTTCACTGTGGTTGGGAGCCTTGGGGAGCTCTGGGTAGGAAACAGCTTATGTTGGTCTTCCACTGGCTTTCTAGAATGAGCTAACTTATATCCTTATGTTTTCCTGAAGTGTAAAGGAATAGTAATGAACATTGAATTGTGTATTTTAAATGGGAGAATTTTATGGTATGTGAATTATCTCAATAAAATGTTTAAATTTGCCTCCTAATAAGAGTCTGCTGAGTGGCAGACATGTAACCTACGCTGTCCGGTTTTATTCTCATCAGACGCTTGCAAACTAAGTTTATTTTGTTTATCTTACAGATGAGAAAACCAGGACTCTACCTGATGTATGTTCATTGACTAGATGAATGACTGTCCGTTAGGCTTGCATTGTAGGCCTGCCTAATTTCTAAGTATGACTTTTCCCACTGGTTGTCTCTGTTCACCCTATTTCCACATTATAAGACCTACTGGGGTAAGCATTTCTCACAACTGTTTTCACTTGTGAGTTAATTTACCTTCGAGGGTAGAGCTGATGGTTTGTGCAGTAGGTGGAGCTTTGAACAGGCTGCAGATAACCCGAGAGCACAGAGTCCTCATGAGCAGGGAGTTGAGGAAAGGTATGGTAGCTTTAACACACAGTATCACAAACAAATAGTTAATGCTACAGGTTTTTTTTTACATTTTCAAATGATAATTAAGAAAAAAAAGAGGAAAGGGAGGAAGTTTGAAGAAAAGAACTAGCTAAAACTTATTGTTTTAATTTATAGTGGCCTTCTCTGAGCAGAAGTTGGATGCTAGTAGAAATACAGATGGTGAAAATGGAATGAACTGGAATTGAAGGCTAAGTTTTCCTGTAGGTAGAACACAAGTTCACCTTTGAAGAAAGATGAGGAATTTCACTTTTTTGGAAAAGCATTTCAATTGGCTCTTTGATTCTAGAAGAGTAAAGCCCAGAGTACCTTCTGAAATCGGGAGTTGAACTTCTCTGGATAATGATGTAGACCCTTGTCCTCATTGTGGGTGGGGTGACATCCCTGTAGTTTATATTCCTCTTCAGAAGAAGCATAGTTCTTTCTGGGGCCCTTAGAGGGTTGGCACCCTAGTCTGTGAGTGAAGGATTCCTGTTGAGGGGTTGTCTCATCTGGGATAGTTGAGCCAGGACCGTCCTATATCATGGCTGTTGAAACGGGGCTGAGGAGAGGGAGGCCCCTTGATAAACCGTGTATGGGAGCTGGGCCTGTAAACTCAGAGGGAAGTCATGGATAACAGGAACATGTAACAGTTTTTCTTCCTTCTCTTATAACTTTGTTTCCTCTTATGTCAAGCCTTCAGCTAAGTGTTGCTAAGTACTGTAGCCTGGTCTTAACTGAGACTCCATCCTCTTTGGGTCTCTCTCTGCTTCCGTGACTTGCGTGTCTACTTCACCAAATTAGGGAAGTTTACTTTCTTTATTTTTTTCAAGTATATCTCCAATTTCTTGCTCTTTCTTTTCTCCTTCTGGCACCTGTAGGAAGTGAATGTTGGACCTCTTGAAGTTGTCCCAGAGTCTGCGTATGTTATTCTCATGTTTTTGGATTCTTTTTCCTTCTTGGTGTATGATTGGTTGTTTGTTTGTTTTTTTTGCTTCCTTATGTTTCAAATCATTGATTTGATTCTCGGCTTCATCCACTCTACTATTGTTTCCCTGTAAATTATTCTTTATTTCAATTAGTGTATCCTTCATTTCTGACTATATCTTTTTTATGCTGTTGAGGTCCTCACTTAGTTCCTTGAACACAACCAGTGTTTTGAACTCTGCATCTGATAGATTATTTAACTCCATTTCATTTAGCTCTTTTTATGGAGTTTTGATCTGTTCTCTCATGTGGGCCATGTTTCTTTGTGTCTTCATTTTTGCAGCCCCCCTGTGTTTATTTCTATATATTAGGTAGAGCTGCTTTGACTCCATGTCTTAGTGGTGTGCCCTAATGTAGTAGGTTCCTATAGGGTCCAGTGGCACAGCCTCCCCTATCACCTAAGCTGGATACTTGAGGGTGCCCTCCATGAGGGCTGAGTATATCCATCTCCTGTAGTTGAGCCTTAGTTAATGTTGGAAGGTCAATGGGAAGGATATACATAGGCCAGTCAGTGGCAAGCCTTGGTTGTGACCACTTAACATCATCTTCTGCGCTCCGTGATGGATCAGCTGTGAAGGGGCAATGGAATGGTGCTCTGTGTGGTTCTGTAGCTGTCCACTGGGTGTGCTGGCCCTGGGGTTTCCTGGATGGTGCAGGGCAAGGTCAGACCCCATCTCTGTTTTACAAGGGGTCACCCTTCCTGAGCTATAAAGCAATTTGAGATGGCTGCTACTTGTGTTGGGCTTGGAGATTTCCAGGCAGAGCCAAGGTGTGAATATAGGTTGACTGCTGCTAGTATCAGTCCTGGGGCTCACTAAGACCACCTGTTGCTAGTTTGATAGGATTTTAAAACTTGCGAAACATGAGCCAAGACCAGCCATTCATGTGGAAAAGTATCTTGCTCGGGCCTGTAAGTTGGGTGGGGCAGAGTCTCTGGGGATCTGCAAGGCAGGTCAAACAGCATTAGCCAGGTTGATGAAGTCTCATATATGGGATCAGCTTGCTGGTTCTGTATGGTGAAGGTTTAGAAAAGGGACAGTGGCCTCTTCTCACCTTGATGCCAGACATTTCAGTTTCTCCCTGTATACCATGGTGCCCTTCAAGCTACTGCCCCAGTGCTGGAGCTCAGAGGTAGTGAGTCTGGGTAAGAGAGTCTGTGTGGGAGTTCTTTAAGATAAACTGCTTGGGGCTACATTAGTGACCCCGCTACATTACCCCTGCTGGTGCTTGCAGCCAGAAGTAGTGGGGACTTTGTTTCTGGCACTAGAACCCTGGGATGGTGGAGCAGGGGAGACTGGTGTGGGGCTGGGATTCTTTGCTTCTGCAATATTTTTATATACCACTCATGGTTGTGTTACTGGCCCATTCTCATCTGTGCCCCTCCTACCAGTCTGAATGGTTGTGGTTTCTTTAATTTTGAAGTTGTCAAACTTCTATTCAATTTGATTTCTTTTTAAAAAATATTTTATTTGTTTGTTTATTTATTTATTTTAGAGAGGGGAAGGGAGGGAGAAAGAGAGAGAAAGAAACATCAGTGTGTGGTTGCCTCTCACATGCCCCCTACTGGGGACCTGGCCCACAACCCAGGAATGTGTCCTGACTGGGAATCAAACTGGCAACCTTTTGATTCACAGGCTGGCATTCAACCACTGAGGGGTCAGTTTGATTTCTGAAGGTTCTGAGTGGTGGTTGTCTATATTTTAGTCATAATTTTGATGTGGTTGTGCAGAAAGGTGAACCATGTCTACCAACATTATAATCTTGACTAGAAGTCCCCAGATTGTTTGCAGCAGTAATTATAAAAAGCCTTCTAAGCATTTCTAATGTACAGCCAGGGCAAGAACATCTGGAATAAAATTAATGAACTCTTCCTCTTCCCCTTTCATCCTCTTGTCTTCTTCATTTTCAAACAATTCAGTCCTACAACCACTGGATGGGCAGGAAAAGGTAGATGTCTGGTGGAAGAGAAGGAAAGTCTCCATGGCCCAGACCAGTAAGTCAGCGCCCAGGAAGGTGGCCCCTCAGAGGGGTGATCTCGGGTGAGGAGTCAGAAGCTGGACAGCGTGAAAATAGTATCCACCTGCATGGGTGACGCAGGGTGGGGAGTCAGAGCCAGAGGTGGGTGAGGAGGCTATACAAGCAAGGTGGCAGCCCAGCATGGGGTGACAGAGCTCAAGCACAATGAGCAAGGTGTCTCTAAATGGAGGGCTGGCCTGGTGTGGGAAATCAGAGCCCAAGCAGAATAAGAAAGTGTCTATCTGGGAGAGTAGCCTGAAATGAAGAGTGTCCATACAGAAGTTCACTGACAAGGTTAAATGGGCAATTAAGATTTTATTCAATGCGACTTCCAGCAAGATGGAGGCATAGGTGGACACACCGTACTTCCACGCACAACCAAGATTATAACAACAACAATTTAGAGCTAGAATAACACCTAGAACTGATAGAGAATTTATCTGAGTGGAAGTCGGACAGCTAAGAAGTTGAAGTAGACCCATTCATCCAGACCGGTAGGAGGGGCTGAGAGGAGGAGCGGGCTCGGGTTCCATCTCACGCAGCTCACGGAGATCGGGGAGAACTGGGTGCATAACGCAACCGGGAGCGCGTAAACCTTCCAGGACGCAACGGTGGACCCTGAGTACGCAAGTGGCGGCAGGCGGACCCAGTGAGGTGGCATTGTGGACCAGGGCAGAGCGCGCAACACAGGATCCCAGAGAAGGGACTGGGATCCCAGGAGAATGGAGCTATCACCATTGTTCCCCCGCGCCCCCACATACAATGTCACAATCTAGCGACTGGGGTGCCCAGTCCAGGTGAACACCTAAGGCTCCATCCCTCACCATAACAAGAGTGACCAGACTGGAAAAAAAAAAAAAGGAGAGAGAGAGAGACATGTCTCCAACAGAAGAACAGATCAGTGCCCCAGGACTCAACCTTTTGAGCGACCAAGAAATAGCCAATCTATCAGATGCACAGTCACTGGTGATCAGGAAGCTCATGGAATTGGTTGATTTTGGGCGCAAATTACATGAAAAAATGCAGGTTACCATAAAAGAGATGAAGGAAGATGCACGGAGAACCAATAGTGAAGGGAAGGAAGCTGGGACTCAAAACAATGGAGTGGACCAAAAGGAAGAAAAAAACAACCAAGCAGGAAAGAATGAAGAAATAAGAATTCAAAAAAACCAGGAGAAGCTTAGGAACCTCCAGGACATCTTTAAATGTTCCAACATCCAAATTATAGGGGTACCAGAAGGGGAAGAGGAAAAGCAACAGATTGAGCACATATTTGAACAAATAATAAAGAAGAACTTCCCCACTCTGGCAAAGGAAATAGACTTCCAAGAAATCCAGGAAGCTCAGAGAGCCCCAAAGAAATTGGACCCAAGAAGAAACACACCAAGGCACATCATAATTACATTAGCCAAGGTAAAAATGAAGGACAGAATCCTAGAAGCAGCAAGAGATAAGGGGACAGTCACCTACAAAGGAGTTCCCATCGGACCGTCAGCTGATTTCTCCAAAGAGACCTTACAGGCAAGAAGGGGCTGGAAAGAAATATTCCAAGAAATGAAAGACAAGGACCTACATCCCAGATTGCTCTATCCAGAAAAGCTCTCATTTAGAATGGAAGGGCAGATAAAGTGCTTCCAAGATAAGGTCAAGTTAAAGGAGTTCATCATCACCAAGCCCTTATTATATGAAATGTTAAAGGGACTTATCTAAGAAAAGAAGATAAAGAAAAAACATGTATAGTAAAAGGACAGCAAACTCACAATTATTAACAACCACACCTAAAGCAAAACCAAAAGAAACTAAGCAAACAACTAGAACAGGAACAGAACCACAGAAATGGAGATCACATGGAGGGTTAGCAACAGGGGAGTGGGAGGAGGAGAGAGGGGGAAAAGGTACAGAGAATAAGTAGCATAGATTGTAGGTTGAAAATAGATAGGGGGAGGGTAATAATAGTATGAGAAATGTAAAAGCTAAAGAAATTATGACACATGGACATGACTAAAGGGGGGATATGGGTGGGAGAGGGTGTACAGGGTGGAGGGGAGTGAAGGGTGGAAAATGGGACAACTGTAATAGCATAATCAATAAAATATATTAAAAATACATTTTTTAAAACAAAAAAAGATTATATTCAATGCTATTGCAAAGGAGGGGAGAGAGATTGAACTCAATTGTACTGAAGCAAAAGGTGGAAAGGTTTTAAAGCCCTGGGGTGAGCTAATGGGAAAATACTGAACTACCAGGGGAAGGTTGGTCAGTGGGAAGTGAGGGGCATGTTAACCCCTGAGTTTGCAAATGTTTTTCTGTGTCATTAGGCCATCTGGGTTTGCTAGTCAGAACCCATCTAAGTTAGGCTTCCACCTTCCCTCAGAGACTGGGAGGCCCTGCCTCCAGGGAGCCGGCAGACTCAGCATCGGCCTTCCTCCTGTTGTGGCATGCCAGGCTGCTGGGTTCCGGAGCAACCTCCCCCTATAGCCCTTCCCTTCTCTGGGGAAGGCAGGCTCTCGCACCCCCAGGTGCCTTCAATTTTCAATCCCACCATCTTCGGTGCTGCTTGGTCCCTCCTGGGGGGCCCATGGGAGAGTGTGGGCTCTCATGCTCCTTTTGGGGATCCTCCCCTGCTCCCAGTGATCTGGTCAGATCCCCTCTGTTACATGATGGCTTCAGATTTGTCCTTCAGGTAGAAAGAAATGTCATCAGGTGAGAGTGATGGGGGTCGAAGTTGTTAGGGGGTGGGAAGCAGAGAATTATGAATATGCTTATTCAGAGAGGGAGACAAAGCTTAATAAGGAACTATAGACACTGGGCAGTGTGCACTGTGTATTTGAACTTCTAAGCTTCAGGACTTGGTAAAAGTTCTAAATATTAAATGGATATACTTTTAAAGGTATGTATAGGAAAAAATAAACAATGGAAAACAGAGGTTGTGTTTGGATGGTATGATCCCCCCACCCCCCGTTTTGTATGCTTAGTACACCTTAAGATTCAAAATGAACTCATTACATTCATAATGGAAAAAGTAATTTTTAATTTTCAAAAGATAATGAAATAAATGGTGATCCAGCACAAAGAAGAATTTGGGGGCACTATATTACTTTGCTAGAGCTAACTAGTACCACAGACTTGCTGGCTTAAAAGTCAGAAATTTATTTCCTCACAATTCTAGAGGCTACAAGTCTGAGATGAAGGTGTGGCAAGGCTGCTTCTTCTGAGGCCTCTCTCCTTGGTTTGTAGAGGGCATGTTCCCCCTGTGCCTTCACTGGGTCTTTCTGTGTGTGTCTGTGTTCTAATCTCCTCTTCCTACAAGGACACTGATCATGTTAGATTAGGGTGCCCCCTGGAGCTCACCTTACCTTAAAAAATCCTGTCTCCCAATACAGTTACATGCTGAAGTACTGAGGATTAGGATACCAACAAAGAATTTTGAGGGACACAATTCAGCCCACCACAGGCACTTATATCTCACTGAGATTTTAATTGCCTCTTGGTATTTCTGATTTCTTTTGTCTGCAGATTTTCCCCCACCCCACTCCCTGGCTGGTTGCTTATTCTTGTGACTTAAAATTTTGTCTGGTGAACAGTTTCTAAGCAATTGATCAAATTTATTGATAATTTTTGAGATGTCAATTTTTAAGAATGTTACACTCTTTCACATTCAAAGAAATATGCTCTCAAGTGAAAGAGAAACTTCCTTCTCTCTGCTTTCCTCATTTCACTTTTGCCCTGCAGGTCTCCCAGAGTCCCAGCATCGAGCATCGGGAGACAGAAAACTTTACAACTCATGGCTTAATTTTTAAATACGAATCTTTACAGTGTCTGCTATCCATCAGAAGAGGAATAAGAAATGAAGGTTAAGAGCAACTGTTCCAAGTTTTTGATATAAAAAGAGAAAGTTTTTAGGAAAATCCTGATAAGTTGCTGAATCAAACTTTATTTTTATTCCTGTAAGGGGAAGCCATTTTTTATAGTCCAGCTATACTTTTAAATAAATACATGTGTTTGTACACAAACCATTATTTGTAAAAATACGAAAATCAATTAGAAATAGAAATGGAGAAAAGACATATCAATATATGTGACTGAGGCCAACTTGTTTAGTGTACTTAGGGAAATGAGAGTGTTTGCCCAATACAGAGTAGTGTCAAAGTCTTTCTCCTTAATGTAGAAATGTCTTTTTAGGTCCTGACAAATGTATTCGTTTTGGGGGAACAGAACACTTCCTTGTTTCAAGACTTTTCAACTTCATCATTCTCTAAAGCTTCAATTAATGGAGAAAACAAAGTGTCTGTTTTGTCTCCATACTCTTTGCACTGGCTTGTAAGCAGGAGGGTTTGCAAATAATGTTTGAATTTGTCTTTTCCTATTCCAGAATCATAGAATAAATTCTCTTTTAATGACAATGCAATTTGACACTCATTCAAGTGGTAGTTGCTTTCCAGCTCTTTGAGACAACAACTGGCAACTACAGGGTGAATGATGCGCACACCTGCATATCCGCAATATTCAGCAACTTCTGTGTTGATTAGAAGTGTCGAATAGGTTCCCATCTTGTCCTCTATGCTTTCAGGTTTCCAGGGAGTACGAGTGCATGTGATTCCCAAAAATGTTTCACAGTGTGACACTGAAATTGTAAAATCAGTTAAATAAGTGTTGAATAGAGTCAGGAAAGAAAAGAGTTGTGCTTCCTTGCTGTTGATATTCTGTCCTTTTAGGATATTCTTGACTACATTTTCTACGTATGATTTATCAAAATTTTCTTTCATGATCATGAAGGAATAAAAGTTTTCACAGTTCTTATGTTGCTTTTCAATTTCCTCCAGTTTGGCCTCAAAAGCTCTTTTGTTCCTTGGCAGAAAGCTGGTGTTTTAGTGCAATACTGTCTGCTAGTTTTGCACTTTGATCAGGATTCTGGGATCTCATGCAGTTTAAGATAATTACCAATGTTTTTTCATATCTCAAGCCATTTGCCACCAAAATGGAATGGATCCTATCCTGTAGAATGCAGACATTTTCCTGTTCTTCAAAGTCATCCACCAGGAGAAGTACAGGAATGTAGTCCTGAGGGCTGGTAGCCTTGTAGGTAATCAACTTGAACACTTGTTCTGCAGTTTCGGCAAAATCAGTTCCTTTGTTTTTTAACATGGCACACCTGAACTTTTTCTTTAGGTCCCAGAGGACATTCATGGCCAATGTAGTACCCCCACAGCCTGGATGATGGTACAGATTGATAATTTTTGCAAATGTTGGTTTAGGAGACTCTGCCCAACACTCTATCAGATCTTTAAGGTTTTCATAATTGTCTCTTTTGACAAGGGCTGAAGAATAGTTTTCAGAAGAAAAATAGAAGTTCCACCAGGACACTTTGCCACCTTGATAAAACTGCTCTTCTTTTGTTTTCTTAAGTTCTTGGAACTTAAATTTGTTTTTATCAGTACCTGTGTCTTTACACTCATTTTCACAGAGAATTTCCAGTGTGGTCAAGATATCCTCTACTTTTTTGTCTAAGATAATGGAAGAAGATCCACGGGATGGTAGGAACCGTCTTGATGACTGAGTGACTGGTTTCAGTTTAAGGATAGTACTGTTTATCAATTCTAAATTTAAAGTGGAAACATTGTGGTCTGCTAATTCATCTGCAATTGTCAACCTGGCTTGTAGTAGATCTTTCCATCGTTGATGAATCTGTGAGTTTACACAGATACACAATATACTTTCCATTCCTTTGAGAGCTTGGTAGAAAGCAGAGAAGGTTTCAAGGAGTGGGTCTCCTGGGCTTTGCACTGGAGAGAGCAATAGAAACACTACCAGAAATTTCCCTTTTGTCATGACATTTTCATCTGTGAGAAATAAAATCAGTTGCCTGACTCGAGAAGCTCTTTTTCTCTGCCATAAATGTGGTTCTAGAGGCTTAAACCTCTCTTCTTTCAAGTCTGATCTGCCATTGCAGAAGATCCAGCTGGGCTGATCATAAAGATTCAGACGAGATTTTTTCTCCATTATGGTCACTGTCTTTTCCTCATATTGACTTGGAAAGTGAAGATTTTCCAACTGGATTTTTTGGTAAGCTTTGGCTACTTCCTTGCACTCAAATTCAGGATCAAAGTCCAACACAGCAAACCATTTAATTTCCCTTAGGAAATCTAAGTTCTTTGTTTGGTTTGGATGGCATTTATTTGTTACGAGAATATACTGCTTGTAGTATGAATTATCCAGTGACTCTCGGTTTCCTATGAGAAGTTTAACCAGCTTTTGTCCTTCACTCTCCTTCTTATTTGCCTTTGCCTCATACTTTTCTTCAGCCTCTTTTCTAGACAGTGCTAGTGACTTTAACTTTTTAAAAAATGCTTTGAATTCCACATCCCATCGCTTGACATTGGCCCGGATATCCTTAGAACTAGCCCCTTCTCTCACAAACAATGAATGGTCTTTACTTTGTTTCCATGTTTCATTTTCATGGGTTTGCATCATAATGTAGAAATACTTTTCTTTACATACAGAGTGTTTTGGAATAACATCTACCTCAATGACAAATCTGTCAGATGGTGTACTGTCCTGCAGGAGAACTTCCACAAACCTTGGCTCCCGAATGCACTTCCTGGCTTCATTGATCTCACTATCTTCAAAATATTTTGCGATCATTTGATTGAAGTGGTCAATGAAGGCAGCTTTACTGGTGACTTTCACGCCAACAATTTCTCCATGGGGTTTGTCCTTGACCCCAAAATGGATAGTGCCATTGGTGCGTGAATTCATACAAGCTGATGCGAATCGGAAGACTTCATTGCTAAATTTCATCCTAATGTCCTTTTCTGTGGCCGTGTCTGTGTGTGTGAGGGCTTTGTACTCATGAATGGGGTCTATGAGATTGCCTGGTCCTGTTTCAGGTGGTAGGAGGTAATGTTCTATGTACCGATGGCTGCTCTGGGGCTGATCAAAAGGATGTGGCATGCAAGTCAGCTGTTCAGGTTTTAGCTTAGTATTTTTTCTGTCTTCAGTGGTTGCTGCTTCATTTAATGCATTTTCTTTCATAAGAACTGATTCTTGTTCTTTGGTATCTCTGGTCTTGCTGAGATTATGATCACTATTGGATGACACTGATTTTCCCTGTTCTTTTGTCTGTTGTACCTTTTTATAGTATTCTTTTATGCAGGGTTTTCTATGATCTAATTGTCCAGAATTGTGGCTGTGATTTTCAAGGAGAATATGATTCCATTTGTCATGTGCTCGTATTATCAGAAGTGCTCCATCCCATTGTTTCAGGTTCTCTTTGTTCCAGTCTTTGGTCATTTCAGGTAGATTTCCTCTTTCACCCATATTAGAGCTGCAACCTCCTTCCTTGGAAAAGTAATACAGGAAGTATTTTAGTGCGGTACTTTATCATTGAAGTCACAGAATCAATTATACATGTAAAATTTCACATAAACAACATATATAAATATTGTTCAAGGTTCATTCTTATACTGCTTGGTACTTATTTTAATTGTTTTATATTCCAATTAGTGCTCTTGTTTCCTCAATGATTATAATGTGATTACAAAATAAGCAGCAGCTGCCTACTTGTGTGACACACCCCTGTATCCTTATTTTTCCCTTTTAAGCTTAATATGGTGAAAGGTTTTTTGTCATTTTTTTTTGTAGGGTAAAACCAGAATCTTAAGTAATAGAGAAATTGGTTCCCAAAGCTGAACATTGCACATAAACTTTAAAATATGAAACAGGTTAAGTGGAGGTGGTTTGGAGAAGAGTAAACTTCATTCACACTAGGAATCTGGTCATTTTTCTTACACAGTAACAAGGCTGTTGGTAAACTCATCACCTGTTTTTCCTTGGAACCCAAGCTGTTAGGTCAACCAAGGATGGAGCTTTGGGGAATGTGGTAGCAAAATGTTTTATAATTGATTTGGCTGTCTACAAAAACTACAAAACCAACCACAAAAACTAGCCAGCCAAATCGATTATTGGTGTTCAGAGGTTCTCTAGAGTTAGCCAAAGTTTGAAGTTGCTTGGTCTGCCTGAAATGATATAAGGAAAATAGTATGAGTTTTAACTTTGTTAAAACCATTGTAGCCTAAATTATTGATATGAAACTAATGACGGTTCTACAGTTATGCATTTTTTTAAATTACAAAAGCTGAGTATTCTTGAACACCCTAGATTAGGGGTCCTCAACCCTGGCTCAACATTAGAATTGCAGTGATCCCTCACCTAATGCGGGAGTTACATTCCAGAGATCCCTGTGATAGGTGAAAATCCGTGAAGTACTGGCGTTATATTTATTTTATTACTTATATGTATTTTTAGGCTTTATAAACCCTTCCTACACTCCTATAAACCTTTCCCACTCTCTTATTAACCTTTCCCACACTCTTACAAACACTTCATATGCTCTTACATATTTTCTACACTCTTAAACCTATGTAATTTTAACAACATATGAAATTCTATATGGGTACTCACCAGTGAAGTATACAGTTGTCCCCCGCTATATCGAGGTTCACTGATTGTGGCTTCACTGTATCGCATGTACAGTGAACAGTGATACAGTGAAGCCGCAGTCAGTGAACTGCATCGATATAGTGAAGGACGACTGTATTGGAGACTCCACCTTTAGAGAGGCTGATTAATTTGTAGAGAGAGTGGAGTGGAGTCCAGGCCTTAGTACTTTTAAAAAATTTTCTGGAGTATTCTGTTGTACAGATAAGGTTGGGAGCAGTTCTCAAAATGTAGTCTTTGGATTAGCAAAAAGCCTCAGCCTCATTTGGAAGCTTGCTAGAAATGAAATTTTCAGGCTCCAACCCTGACCTACTGCTCCAACCCCCAAATCTGAATTAATAAGATGAATCAATAATGTTGTTTAAGTAAGGGAAAACAAAGTATTATAAGTATTATAAACAAAAGTATTATAAGGATAGACTAAAGGCATTAAAGATCATGCAAACAAATAGTATATAAAGGAGAAAATATAAACATTTAAAAGGCTTTAAGTTTTTATGTGAAAGATTTAGGAGACTAGGTTTTTAAAATATTTAATGTATAACACAGGTGGCAAGCACAAGTCCTGCGGGCCAAATCTGGCCCTCCACCTTGTTTTATCCTGCTTGGCACCTTGTTTCTACCTGGCAGCAGCACCAAGCTCCTTGCTTGGTTAAGCAGTAGTTACATTTATACAGTCCTAAAATTACATTTGGCTCTCTGAAAGTAACAGCAAGGCTGATGTAGATCCTGGTGAAAATGAGTTTGACACCCCTAACAAGTCACAAAACCTAGCCAGATTGAAAATTTGACCTATCTGTGTTTGGGACTACTCATAAAAGCTTCCTGGTGAGGTCTCCTGGAGGTCAAATGTGAACAGTGAGCTAAACTGAGGCCTCAGTCTGCAGTCCTATGACTGGCCAGAGAAGAAACCCATGCTCGTCATTTTTGGTGTGAGTATCATAAGCCTACCCAAATCCTTTACCCCTTTTATAGGTGCACATCCACTGGGCATAGGAGCTGCTACTTGCCTTGATGAAACTTGTCTCGGTGCCTTAGTGTCTTGAATCACGTTAGTCACTCTGACTTCAGTCCATAGGGCACACCTAGTGCTGAGCCAGGTAGCAGAACTTTGAGCAACTGGAAACAATGAACATTATAAACATATTTCAGATGATCAATCCTGTATACATACAGTGTAGATGGAAGAGGTGTTAGAGGTCCACAAAAATTGGTGCATATATTGTTACCAGAGATAAGTATTATTTTATCTTGAATTGTGTATTTGTTCATTTATTCAACAAAAATTTAATTTTTATTTTTACATATATTTTTTATTGATTATGCCATTATAGTTGTCCCAATTTTCCCCCTTTGTCCCCCTCCACCCAACACCCCCATTTCTTCTGGCAATTCTCTTTCCTTAGATCATGTCTATGGGTTATCCCTGAACCTTTAACCCCATTCTGCCCTTTCCCCCTCCCAACTAGTAACCATCCAAATGATCTCCATATCATTGATTCTGTTACTGTTCTGCTTGTTTGCTTATTTTGTTTTTTAGACTCAATTGTTGAAAGTTGTGAATTTATTGCCATTTTAATGTTCATAGTTTTGATCTTTTTTCTTAAGTGCCTTTTCTTTAAGAGGGGATGCCTAAGAATCCTGCAATTTCTTCTGTCTCCCTAACCCCCAGTAGCTTTTGTAGCCAGAAGTTATGGGGACTTCTCTTCCTGGCGCTGGAACCCTGGACTGGGTGGTCTGGTGTGGGGCTGGATCCCTTGCTCCTGATATTGATCCTGATATGTTTCCACCACATGTGTTTGTGGGACCAGCCCACTCTGGTTCTCTGAGGTTCCCTATCTCTTCCCCTCTACCCATCTGATGAAGGTGACTTCTTCAGTTCCTTGGTTGTCAGACTTCCATACAGCTTGATTTTCTGATGATTCTGGGTGATAGTTGTTTTGTAATTTAGTTGTATTTTTCACTGTGGTTGTGCAAGGAGGCGAGCCATGGTTACTTACGCTTCCATCTTGGCTGGAAGTCCAATAAATGTTTACTTAGCACCTATTATGTACCAAATATTTATAGTGCACCTATTATACCTAATATTTATTGAGTACCTGTGAGGCATCACACTCAAGACAAATAGATGATAACAAGAAGAAATGTTGAAATTCCTTCATAGCACTTATAGTCCTTTGGAGGGAAAAGCCACACACATGCACACACACACTCAAAAGACTTCATCACAATGAAAAGTTATGATAAGTACTTTGTGTAAGACACAATAAAGGCCAGAGGACTGGGACCTGTGAGTAGGAGGGGAGTATCACTTGGAGCACAGTGGGGACATTGTACAGGTGAAGTTAAAGGAGGGCTGCTAGAGTAGGGTGTGAGGCAGGTTGGGGGAGAAAGTGAGGGGACAAAATTAGGGCATAAGGCATAGTATCATAGACTACCAAAGGTCTCCTGGTGGGTGTAAGGAGTATTGGTGAGGTGGTGCTCCAACTACAGGCAGTAGTACCTGCTCCTGCCAAAGAGAATTCTGAGCAGAGGGCATCTCAGACCAGTAGATGTCTCCTTGACCCTGGGATGCTGGGAGGCTCATCCCTGATCCTCCTGTCTCCCCTGCAGTGTCTCTGTCACCTCAGGCAAGACTGAAGGGAAGGGCTCTGCCTCATCTGTTTATAAGCACTATATGGAGCCAGTAGTATAAGCAGTTATTAGTAAACTGATTCCTAATGAAAGATTTTTGAAGTTACTGGAAGATAAGTGGAATAAAAAAATAGACTACCATGTCATTTTAAACTTTAGTGTTCAAATATTTCACCTTTGAGAATTTGCTGAATATTTGCTTTTTATACATTTTAATATATTGGGCTGGCCAAAAAAGTTCATTTAGTTATTTCTATAAAATAAAAGACACATTTTTCATTTTCACCAATAACTTAATTAATTTGGGTATTTTGATTACGTCAGCTGTCTCCTGAATGATATAATGTTGACTGTTCTCAATTAATGTCTTGATTTGATTACTACCAGCTTTAACTGGTCTACCCAACCATGGAGCATCATCCAGTGAGACATCTCCAGCATGAAACTTCACAAACCACATTTGACACATTCACTTAGTCACAGCACCTTCTCCATAGACTGCACAAATCTTCTTTTGCATTTCAGTTGTGTTTTTACCTTTCTTGAAATATAAAGCATAATATGTCAAAAATGTTGCTTATTTTCTTCCATCTTCAATATGAAAATGGCCACACAAAAACTTATCAATTTTGATAAGTTTTTTAAAATGCATGCTGTCACAACATTCTTACAAAGTTGTCTGAGTGAAGTTAAAGATAACTGGGCACTACTAGAGCCATGTTACCAAAAAAACCCCAAACGAACTTTTTGGCCAGTGCAGCATTTTGACTTCCATCTGTAGACAGCTGAAGGGAGGAGGCACTCATGCCCTCAGACACTATTCCTGTCATGATTCGTGGTGGCTCAGTAGACATGTAGATGATCATTTCAGTATGTTGGACTTTCACCTCGTTGTCTGCTTCTCATCTAATGATCTTGACCTCCACCCATCTCCACGTTCATGGTCACATTATTGACCTTACCATGACTGTTACTAATTGATTTGTGTGAACCTTCCACCCCCTAAAATTCATGTGTTGAAGTTCTAGTGTCAGTACCTCAGAATGTGTGCTTGTTTGGAGATAGGCCTGGTGCAGATGTAACTAGGTAACCTGACACCATTAGAGTGGGCCCTGACTCAATGTGACTGGTATCATTATGAAAAAGGACAATCTGGACCCAGAGGCACATACATAAGGATAACACCA